AAATCCCTGCCGGGACTCGGAGCAGAACCTGGGCACACATCCCTGCCGGGACTCGGAGCAGAACCTGGGCACACATCCCTGCCAGGACTCGGAGCAGAACCTGGGCCCAAATCCCTGCCAGGACTCGGTGCCTGCCCCCTCTGTTGGCAGCAGCTTTTTTCCTGGGTGTAAATGCAAACCTGGGCTGCATCTGCAGCAAATAAAGACCCCCTGAAACTCCCCATTAAATTTAATAATAGAACATTGGTAGATCCTAACCATCTTTTGTCATGGAAGAACTGCTTTGGAGCTCCACGCTGGTGTGCCCAGTGCAGCAGTTGGAGAAAGGAGGGCCCTGGCCTCGCTCTGGCAGCTCAGAAAGTGGCTTTGTGCAGAATTATCATGAAACCTCTCTCAGCAACAGCTCTGGAATGAGAATTTATGCACTGAACTCTTCATTATATTTTCCTGAGGTCACAGGGGTTACTTGGGGTCATTGCAATCCTGATCGGGGTTACTTCAGGTCACAGGGGTCATTTGAGGATAGTTGAGCAACCGATGAAAATTTCTCTAGGTCATTTTAGACCCTCTTTGGGGGTTACTTCAGGTCACAGGGGCCATTTGAGGTCATTTGGGGCCCTGATCTGGGTTACGTGAGGTGACAGGGGTCATTTGAGGTCATAGGGGTTACTTGAGGTCATTGCAGTATTTTTTCATTCCTCCAGGGGTTACTTGAGGTCATTTTAGACCCTCTTTGGGGGTTACTTCAGGTCACAGGGGTCATTTGAGGTCATTTGAGGCCCTGATCGGGGTTACTTCAGGTCACAGGGGTCATTTGAGGTCATTTGAGGCCCTGATCGGGGTTACTTCAGGTCACAGGGGTCATTTGAGGCCCTGATCAGGGTTACTTCAGGTCACAGGGGTTATTTGAGGTCATTTATGTATTTTTTAATTGATCTGGGGGTTACTTGAGGTCATATGTGTCTCCATTAATTGATTGTGGGGTCAGATGTGGACACAGGGGCTCCTGAGGTCATTTGTGTCCCCATTAATTGATCTGGGGGCCAAGTGGGGACACAGAGGATAATTCTTACGAGCTGTGGCCAAACAGGAAGGGACACTTCGGTGTAATGGACCAAACAGTGCCAGTCCAGTCCTGGGGTGCCCAAGGCCTCGGGTGACACCAGTGGCCTGTGGTGTCACCCATCCTTTGCCCTCTGTCCTCTCAGCATGGTGACAAGGGCCCAGTTATTATCTTTATTAATATTTATTATTAATTTGTAGTATTCATTTATTGTATTAGCATTTATTGTCATCTCCTGTAAGCATCAGCATTTACAGAATTGGTGTTACCTATTAATACAATCATCAATAAATTCTACTGTTGGAATTACATTATCTTACGAGCTGTGGCCAAACAGGAAGGGACACTTCGGTGTAATGGACCAAACAGTGCCAGTCCAGTCCTGGGGTGCCCAAGGCCTCGGGTGACACCAGTGGCCTGTGGTGTCACCCATCCTTTGCCCTCTGTCCTCTCAGCATGGTGACAAGGGCCCAGTTATTATCTTTATTAATATTTATTATTCATTTATTGTATTAGCGTTTATTGTCATCTCCTGTAAGCATCAGCATCTACAGAATTGGTGTTAGCTATTAATACAATCATCAATAAAAATTCTACTGTTGGGATTAAATTATCTATTATATCCATTACCTAAAAATAATCCATTAAATCTATTAAATTCTATTTACAATATTATATTTTTGAATCCAGTAGTACAATCACCTATTACAACCTGAAACAATTATTATTTCTTATAACACTTATACTACTTATTTCTTATAATAAACAGTAGATTTATTAATATTAGCAATTAGTAATGTATTATTAGCTGCCACAGGGGTGTAAATGTCTCCTGTTGGAGCTTCCATGGGATTATGGAATTCCCTTCCCACCTTTTTGTTCATAGCAGTAAATTCCCCAACTCTGCTTTGAATAGTTTATTTTCACACAGGGGAAAAAAAAAAAAAAGAAAAAAAGAAAACACCTTGCAAGTGTCAAACAAAAAAAAAAATCCCAACTCCTGGAAATGTTCACACAATCCAACAAAAATATACCCAAGCTCTGACCTTTCAGGTGGGTGCAGAGTGAGCAGGTGTCTCTAAACACGATCCCAGATCTCCAGAAATTCCCCCCAGTCTTCAGAGCAGGCAGGGAGCCCCTGGTTTGCAGCCTGATGAACCAGCCCCCCAAGCCTACACCCCAATATCAGGACCCAAATCTTTGAGTTCCCTTCCCACCCAAACCTCTCCAGGACTCTTTGCCAGCTGCAGCAGTGGGATTTTCCCGTGTTCCATCCCCAAACCTGGGCAGGGCGGGAGGACCCAGCCCCAAAGCAGAGCCCAGCGAGAGGCACAGCCCCCATTGCAGATCCTGGCCAGCCCCAAATTCCCTGCAAGCTGCTCCCAGCCCTCCCAGCAGGGCTCTAAACCCACCCGGACTTCCCTGGCTCCAGCTGGACGAACAAGCTGGCAACAGCAGAAAGAGAAGCAAAGCCTCTTCTGCTCGGGGAAAAAAAAAAGATTGGGAGAAGTCTCCATAAATCCTGAGGCAGTTACTGGTGGAGAGGGCTCCCCTCCTCCTGCTCCACGCTGCAGCACAAATTATGGCCCCAGCCTCGCTGTTGTTCGGTGATGAACATCTGAAAAGGCTGTGACAGATGAGAGGAGGGATGATTTAACAGCCATAAATCCAGCCAGCTTAGAGGTGTTTTTACAACCAAGCCCATCTTGAATCCCCTCTGTTATGAATACTTATCACTCCCAGACACTGCCACAATGGAAAGATTTTGAACAGCTTTAATAGAGACGCAATAAAACCCCCGGAGCCGGGCGAGCAGCCGTCCTTTGATCCCTCCCGAGGGAGGGAGAGGGGCTGGAGCTGCGCTCAGCCTTGAAGGAGCAGAGCTGCAGCAGCCGCTGGGCTGAGCCCGGCTTTGATGGGTGGGTGGAACCAGCCCGGAGCTGGATCAGCTTTCCCAAAGTGGTGTCATTACTGCCCGGCAGGGAACGGGGACAGGGGACAGGTGAGCCCGGCTTTGATGGGTGGGTGGAACCAGCCCGGAGCTGGATCAGCTTTCCCAAAGCTGCTGCGTGGTGTCATTACCGCCCGGCAGGGAACGGGGACAGGGGACAGCCTGTGACATCCAGTACCTTCTCCAGGGGCTCCTCCTGCAGTCCCAGCTGCTCCGGCACACCTGCAGGGATTTAAACCCAGCCTGCTGCCAGCTGCACTGACCCTGCTGGGTGTGGTGACACCGCCTTTTAACCCGAAAATCACTGAATTGAAACACCTTGCAAGTGTCAAACAGGAGGGCAGGGACACTGTCCCCTGGCACTCCCAGGCAGGACAGGGACACTGTCCCCTGGCATTCCCCAGCAGGACATCAACAGCCACCACCTGAGGAGGAGGACAGGGACACTGTCCCCTGGCATTCCCCAGCAGGACATGGACACTGTCCCCTGGCACTCCCAGGCAGGACAGGGACACTGTCCCCTGGCATTCCCCAGGGAGGACAGGGACACTGTCCCTTGGGATTTCCAACCAGGACAGGGACACTGTCCCCTGGCACTCCCAGGCAGGACAGGGACACTGTCCCCTGGCACTCCCAGGCAGGACAGGGACACTGTCCCTTGGCACTCCCCAGGGAGGACAGGGACACTGTCCCCTGGCACTCCCCAGGCAGGACAGGGACACTGTCCCTTGGCATTCCCCACGCAGGACAGGGACACTGTCCCCTGGCACTCCCAGGCAGGACAGGGACACTGTCCCCTGGCACTCCCCAGGCAGGACAGGGACACTGTCCCCTGGCACTCCCCACGCAGGACAGGGACACTGTCCCCTGGCACTCCCAGGCAGGACAGGGACACTGTCCCCTGGCATTCCCCAGGCAGGACAGGGACACTGTCCCCTGGCATTCCCCAGGCAGGACAGGGACACTGTCCCCTGGCACTCCCAGGCAGGACAGGGACACTGTCCCTTGGCATTCCCCAAGCAGCACAAGGACACTGTCCCCTGGCACTCCCCGGAGCTCAGGAGCTCTCCCAGCTCCAGGGTTCCTGGTCATGCATCTCACACCCTCCAGGCTGGGATTAAGCAGCCCCAAATCTCATCCCCACTTCCCAAAGTGCCCCTGCAGCCTCACAAAACAGTTCTAAGCACCCAGCCAGAAAAAGCAGGAAAAGGGAGGTGCCAGGGGGCACCCAGTGTAAAGGGCACCTGGAGCTGGGCAAGTACCTCGGGAATAAACCCCTCCCTTCCTGTACACACAAACTTATCAGGCACAGGCGGGTGATAAGGAATTCAGCAGGTGGAGGGAACAAAATTGATCCCAGGCTCCTTGTTTTCCCCAGCTGAGCAGTCCACAGCCAGGGAAAACAGCAGGGGAAGCATCCAGGCTTTGGCTGGTGGGTTTCCCTCCTGCATGGGGGGTAATTCAATAAAAACAAGGAGCAGGGGAAGCTCCTTCCTAAGAGAAATGAGGTTACCAAGAGAGAAACCAGCCCTGCAGGACAAGGAACAGGCTCAGCTTGGCCACACACAGACCTGAGGGGACGTGGAGTCCGAATCCTGGGTGGAATATGACATTCCCAGCCTGCTAACCTAAGGGAACAGCTTTTCTTTTAATAAGATAATACCGAGTAATTGATTTTTAAATACACTGAAATCAAATGTCCCGAGGCCAGAGCAGGATCCCAGCTCTGCCATCAGCTCCGAGGCCACTGGCAGAGATGGAAAGCACAAGGGAAAAGAAAATAAAAATGAAATCTCCTTCAAGTGCCTCTCTGGCTCCGGGGCAAATGTGAACATCTCTGTTAAAGGTACAACAGTTTTTCCTTATTAAAAAATAGATTATCAGAAGGGAGAAGCTGGTGGAGGCACCAGGGACCACTGAGGTCGAACAGGCAGCCTGGAGAAAATCCATCTGCTTAAAAAACACAACAACAATTGAGCAAAAATATTCATTTCTAAGATAATTTATTCCAATCTCTCTCTCTGTCACATCCCATCCTTCACACATTCCCAGTCAAGGAGGGTTTATGGCTATTTTTTATTGGATTTTAGTTGTTTTTATAGAAAAATACACATGCAAATAATATATATACTTCAGCGCTGAACATTTCTTTTCATGTTGGAAAAAATAATAATAATAATAATAATAAAGAAATGAAGGAGGATTTGGGGAAGACCTGAGTGGAGACAGAGGCAGGGAAGGCCACGGGGATGGGATGCTCCAGGATGCTGAGCTGCTCATGGTGCAGCACATTTTATCCAGCAGGAAGGGATTTTTGGGATGAGGGACCAACCCTTCTCCAGTGACTCTGCCCAGGTTTGGGAATGGCCAAGGAAAAATTGGTGCTGGATTTGTCCTTCCTACAAGACCCAGCACAGATCCCATCCCCAGCGGCAGGGGAAGCCCAGCTTAGGTAAAAGCATCACTTTGATGCTTGGAAATGACACCAGAAGCCAAGAGCTACATGGAAAAAAATAACCTTTTATGCTATTTCCTATGGGAGACAGCTGGCAGCACAGGGAAAAGGGAGTGACTGAAACCTGGACTCATGTTTCAGGATGGGGTTTTTGGGGTGCCACTGCTGGCCCCTTGGCTGTGCAGGGCTGGGGGTTTCTGCCCCTGTGGGCTGCTCCTTGCAGAGGGGAGCAGCCATGTCCCCGTGTCCCCAGAGGTGTCCCTGTGTCCCCAGGAGGGAGGTGTCCTTTGGGCAGGGCAGTTTCGGGTTTGATGGATGAGCAGCTGCAGCCAGGGAGGGCAGAGAGGAGCAGCCCGGGCAAGGAGGAAATGAATCCACTGCCACAGGATGCCAGGAGGCTTTGGGAAATGTCACAATCCAGCAGCATCCAGCACTGACAGGGCAGCAGGGAGAGGGATGAGGTTTTGTCATCTTCTCCAAGGCAAGCAGAGCTCCTGTGCCTCTGCCTGCAATCCTGCCCAGGGCCATGGCTTTTTTCCTACTGATGGGGTTGATGATATGGAGCAAAGTGCTGTCCCCCTGCCCAGAGGTACAAACCCCCACAGGCAGCACAGTGAAGGCTTCCCAAGGGGAGGATTTCCCTCCAGCTCCCGAGGAAGGCGGCAGCAGCGCTCTGCCAGCCCCACCCTGCCCATGTCCCCAGGCAGTGGTGACACCCTGGAGACACCAGAGAACCCGAGTGGTGGCTGGGTGCAGCCCCAGCTCTGGCTGTGGTCCCTGTCACCACCTCCTGCATCCCTGGTGCAGCTCCAGCCTCAGCGAGGGGAGTCCAGCAGGGAAAGCAGCCTTGGATCCCTCTGGATTTACCACTGAGACCTCAACGTGGGGGGGCTGCAGCCACAGCACCTGGGGGCGGCACAGCCACCCTCTTCCTTGTGTTTTGTTTTGCTTTTCAACCAACCCCATTCACTTTTGGGGCTGTCTGCTGCGACAGTGGAGGCGGGAGGGTCTGGCGAGGCGGGGGCTGTTTGGCTCCTATGTCTACAGGCTGCCCTGGGGCAGCTCCAGAGCCTGGTGGACGATCATGCAGGTTTTATTGCAGCTCGTGTGTGTGGTTCGGTTGGTAGGTAGCCCAGCTGCAGTCTCAGGTAGCCCCGGGGGTGGGCTGCTCTCCCCTCCCCACCTGTCCGGTTGCCGTCTCTCCGCCGCCGCCGCGTGCCGGCCGTGGCTACTCCGTGGCCATCTGCTCGATGTGGTCACTGAGCAGCTTGTATTGCTCTGGAAGGAGAGAGAGAAGGGCTCAGGGAGGCTGCTGAGCCACCCCGTCCACCCTCCATCCCCCCAGAATCCCAGAAAGGGGCTGCACACCCCCGGGCTCTCCCCTACCTTCGTCCAAGTTGCCGATGGTCGCCTGCTTCTTCAGGAAGTCACTGCAGAGCTTCTTGCTGAGGCCAAACGCCAGCATGTTGTGGATGAAGGTGCTGAGGGAGGAGAGAGAGGCTCTGGGTGAGAGAATGGCCAGGCTGCCCCTTCTGGGCCCCACCTCCCTCTCCCTCTCCCCAGCCCCTTGCAGCGGGCGCTGGGATGAGCTCAGCTCGGTCCCTTTGGGTATTCAACAGCAGGGGCAGGAGCAGGTCCCAGGGAGAGGCATCAAAGACCCTCTGCACCATAAGGGATGTCCCCAGCGGGGGAACAGCTGGGAGGTGTCCCCGGGGTGGTGCCCGTGCCCTGCTCACCCCAGCTGCCCGAAGGTGATGTTCTCGTTGAAGCGCAGGCTGTCGTCGCGCTCCTCCTGCGTCATGTGGCACCACTTCTCCCTGCAAGGAACAAGCCACTGGCACCACTCTGCCCCCGCGGGCACCTCAGGACCCCCTGCCTGCTTCCTCCCACCCTGGGCCACGTTGCTGGGGGACAGGGAGGCACCGAGAGCCCCTGGGAGGACAGGGAGGCACCGAGAGCCCCTGGGCGCGGTGCTGGGTGTGGGATGAGCTCACAACATGGATCCATCTGCAGAGCTCCTGCCCTGGAGCAAAGCAAGAGATGCTCCAGGAAAAACCTCATTCAACCTTGGCTTTGCATGGAAAGGCCCTGATTAAGAGCTAAAAATAGCATCAATCCCTCCAGCATGGAGCTCACCTTCAGTGCCACCATGGGCACGAGGAGGAAGCAGGGGATGGCCGTCCCAGCAGGGTCTGCTGAAGCCCCCCAGCCTCCAGGGTGACAGGGGGACACCAGGCACCTGTCCCTCATCTGCAGCAAGGCTCCAACTCCCCGAATCTCGAGCAAGGTGCTCCCCAAACATGCCTCCCCCTCGGACAGGGCAGGAGCTCCCACACCCCTCCCAAAATGCCAGCGGTGCCCTGAGGGTGCCCAGCTCCACTGCAGCTCCCTGCAGCTGCAGCATCGCCTGCAGGGCTGGAGGGCTTTAAGCTCTGGGTGTTTGCAACCAGCTCCAGGCAGGGGCAGAGTCCCCAGCCCGGGAATAAAGCCTGTGCCACAGGGATGTCACCCGGGGTGGTGGCAGCAGGGCTCGGTGCATGCATGCCAGGGAAACTACAGCTCCACGGTGAGGCCAGCCCCTTCCCGAGAACCAGGATACAGCCAAGGATAAGAGGAGGAAAAGCCAGGAAAAAACAGGGATAGGCAGAAGAAAAATGGAGGAGAAGGAAGAGGAGAACACCAGGAGAGGAAGGGACAATTGTAGCTGGCCAGAATACCGAGCAGGAGGGGGGAGCTGTGCTGGGGGGAAACTGGGACAGAGGGGGTGTCACCCGAAATTCAGCGAGGCTGGCTCAGCCCCAGTGGGGCTGGAACTCAAGAGGATGGGTGCTCAGCCAGGCTGACCCCACAAAGGGAGCCAGGCCCCACCAAATCACCCCAACCCCAATGTGCAAATCTGCTCAGCTGAGCCTGCAGCCAAGGGCTCATTGTTTATAGGGCTCTGCAAATGCACACAACATGTTTCAGGGGATTTTTTTAAAAGAAAAGAGAGTGTAATTTCTCTCAAATAAAGCTTAGATAGCAAATAAAACCCACAGCCAAATGTAGAGGCTGAAAGCAGAGGGAAAGAATCGAATTAAGGGGCTTTGAAATCTGGAAGCAAAACTTCACAGACCCCACTGGCTCACTTACACAAGAGGCATGTTTGTAACTCTTTTTTTCCTGCCTTTTTATGTTTTGGAGGGAGGAAGAAAGGAGAAAAAACATTATCAAAGTGCCCCCAAAAAAAAACAATCTGGCCACATTTCTGGCTTATTAGTGGAGAGTAACAGGCCTGGGAAGGGAGAAAACCCACACGTGGCTGCACTCAAAGCCTTTGATCTTCACCAGCAGGACAGGCACAGGGGTGAGGAACCCCCTGGGCTGTGGGGTTGTATTTTGGGGCATCCTTGCTGTGCCTGGAAGTGCTGAGAACTCTCCATCAACCCCTTCCTCTTCCAGCAGCAGCAGCATTTCCCCCCACACAGCAAACCCCAGCAGTGATATTTCCACCATCCCTCAGAAAATTCACTGCCAGGCTTCCAAAATCCCTCGTCCTCTTGCTAATGCCATCAGCTGGAGGGATTTGCCCCCAGACACTCCAAGAGAGCAGTGACTGTTCCCAGCTTGTGGCCCCAAGGACACACTCCCAGTTGTGACATGCAGCCCCCCTATTCACAATTTTAATTTTGTTAAGGGATGGCAGCAGAAAAGTGCATTAAAAATGGAAAAGGACCAGCGTTTCCAGCTGGCAAAGGATGCCCAGCACCTCTAAGTGGCAGCAGCAGCCAGGAGCAAGCAGGAAGGACAGGAGAGGGGGATGCTTTCTACACAAAGAGACTCGGTTCATGCCCAAAACCTGCCCAGAGGGATGTTCCCAGAGAAATATCACAGCTTGAAAGCATTCAGGCTCCTTTTTAGGAGCCACATGAAAGAGGAGCCAATGTAAACCCCTCAGGCCCTTTGGGAGGGTGCTCAAAACTCCAGCAGCTGCTCCTCCTCCATGGAGAAAATGCCTTGCAGAGGCCCCCAAAACACATCCCCCCCGTCCCCAGGGCGGGATCTGGACCTGAAGCGAGCATCAGCCTGTGGCACTAAGGAAGGACAGGGACAGACACACCTCTTCTCCTCTTCCTCCCCAGTGTTCCCTCTGGAGCGGCGGCAGAAACGGGGCCCACAAGAGTGGCGCGTGAAAAGGTCATGCAAGACACAGGGATGGAGGGGAACCGAGAGAGCCAGAGAGGGAGGAGGGTTGTTAGAGGCAGAGAGAGAGAGGAAAGAGAGAGAAAAAGAGGAGTTTAGTTCTGTTCCTTCCCCCCCTCCCCTGCCCTCCCCGCGCAGAGGAGGAAAATCCTCCCCAGGTGTGGCAAAGGACAAAGCCACCCCAGAGATGTCCTGGTCACCCTGTCACAGAGGTGGCCTCAGCCCCATCCCCAAGGAGCTTCTGGGCACCTGCCATGGCCGAGGACCGACCTGGAATTCCAAACCCAGCCCCAGCCCCAGCAGGGATTTCAATCCTCAGCCCAGCATCCCAGCTCGCTGTAAGGATTCTGCATCCTCTCCTCTCAGGGGGGGTCACCACCACCTCTCAAACCCCCCGAGATGCTCAGGATTCTCCAGGCTGCAGCTCCCAAAGCTCCTTTGTCAGCCGGGCTTGTTCCTGCAGCCAAGGCAGGCTCAGCCATCAGATTAATTGGGAGAGGCACTGGGAGCAGGGAGCAGCTGCCGGTGGCGTCTGTCCTTGTGAGGCATTTGCTGCTGCTAATTTGGGGCTTCATCAAAGCAAAGGCAGTTATGGTTACACTGCTGCTCTGCAGGCTCTTCCCGTGCTTGCTTGGGAGGAAAAAAAAAGGAAAGCAATAAAGGGGAAAACGGGGATTGATCTGAGAGCTGGGCCTGGCACAGCATCCCCGGGTGAGAGCCAGGGCTGCTGCGGCTCGGCCCGGGGCGTGGGGAGGACACAGAGGGGGCTGGCTGCTCCACAGGGCTGTCAGTGCTCCAGAAGGGGGAAAAGGGGCAGCTCGAGGGCTCCAAGGAGAGCTCAGAGCTCAGGCACTGCACAGACACGGGAGGGGCTGGCTGGGAGTGGGAAATCCCTGCCAGGAGAGGAGGGAGCGGCTGGAGCCCCCACCCAGCTCCGGGGTGCACCAGAGGTGGGCACAAGCTTGGCGAGGGTCTCACCCACTTCTGCAGCCCCCAGCATGAGCAGCCCCTTCCCTGGCAGGTTTATCCCAATTTTTTGGGGCTGGCAGTGCCACCATCCCCAGCTTCTCTCCTTGCTGGCTGCAGGGACAGCTGGGACATCCCCTCCATCCACAGCACCTCCCTGATGGCTGCACCAGGCACCTCCCAGACCTGCTGGCACACTCAGCACCAGCAGCCTGAGCCCTGGCTGGCATTTCTGGGCACGTCTCTAGGGTTTGCTTCCCCCAAAAATGCAGCACAGCAAGCCAGAAACCCTTCCTGCTGCCAGAGCCCTGCCAGGCTGCAGATTTCACCAGCAGGATTCCAGAGGGGATGGAAAGCTGAGCATTTCCCCAGGGCTGGACCAGCTCGGGGCTGTTGGGAGCAGCTCCCTGGGGGGCTGCAGGGGACACAGAGTCTCCTTTTCCCACAGGGACGTGTCCTACCTGGTGGTGGGGGATCTCTTCCTGCGCTCGCAGTGCACGGCGTCGAAGAAGGCGGCGTTCCAGAAGCGGAGGTTGTGCCTGCAGGGAGGGAGGGGGTGTTGGAATGGCCAAAGGATTTTTTAATTAGGAGCCACAGGGTGCTCAGAGCTGCTGTGGCTGCCCCTGGATCCCTGGCAGTGCCCAAGGCCAGGCTGGATGGGGCTTGGAGCAGCCTGGGACAGTGGAAGGTGTGCATAGCAGAGGTGGGATGGGATTTAAGGTCTTTTCCATCCCAAACCATTCCAGGATTCCACAATCTCACCCAGCCTGTCCCTGAGTCCTCCCAAGGGTCAGGGTGGGCCAAACAAACCTGGCAGATTTCTGGACCAGCCCTTTGGTGGCTGCAAACACACCCTCACTAGCACAAGGGACGTGCCAAAGCCAAGGCCAGCTCTGTTAGGGGCACTTGTGAACATGTGGGGACATGTGGCCAGCAGGACAAACCCCTCCCCAGGCAGGAGCCAGCTCGCCCAGGGCTTTACCAGATCGGCTGCTGCTTGAGGTGCATGTACAGGTAGATCTTCTCCCCCTTCTTCTCCTCCTCGGGGCTCTGCAGGGACACTGTGGGGACACACAGTCACACAGCAGCACCGGGGCACTCCCACCTTCCCACCCACGTGGGGATTTTTGTGCCCCCTCCCATTTGGTGGCTGAGCAGCCAGGATGGATTGCAAACCAAACACATCCAGAGCAATGGCAGGAGGAGCTCTGGGTGCCCTTGGAGGGCTGGGGTCAGCCCTGATGGAGGCAGAAATGTCCCAGGAGGATCCTGGCGGGGCTGGACTGCTGCTCTGGGAGCACAACAGGCGCTGGGGGACACTGCTGCACCACCAAAGCTCGAGGCAGTGGGTGCCCAAACCTCTGCAGCCTGTGACACTGAGGACAAGGTCCTCGCAGGATGAGAGTTGTGATTGGAATTTCAAACCCAGCCCCAAGGAATTCCAGCATTTCCAGCCCTCCCTCCCTCCCCAGGGGTGCCTTGGCCGTTCCTGTTTCAGCGATGCTGGCTGCACTCACCCGTTTTCTTCAGCTTCTCCTTTGGTTTGTCCTCACCTTCTCTGTGGCACAAGAAATCAGTGTCAGCTCTGAAAATCCTGTCCCCCTGACAGCCCACGGCCCCCTGGCAGAGGGAACCCCATTTGAGAGACCCCCTGATCCCATGCCACCATCCCCAGGGCCAGAAAGGTGACAAAGAGACGGTGAAACAGTGCCATCCCTCCCCTCAGCAGAGAGATGATGCAGAAGATCACCAGCTTGGAACCACATAACTCCACGGCTGGCTGGGTTTTGAGACAGATCAGAAGGAATTAGGACAATGGCCAAGGGAAACAGGACTCCCAGACCACGAGGTGGCAGTGACTAAAGCAGGGGACCAGGCTCTGGTGGCCATGGCACCCCTGGCTTGCTCAGGACATGGTGCCCGCCCTGGCCCCCGAGGGAGGGCAGTGACTAAAGCAGGGGACCAGGCTCTGGTGGCCATGGCACCCCGTGGTGCCCACACCCCTGGCTTGGTCAGGACATGGTGCCCGCCCTGCCCCTCAGGGCAGTGGTACCCACTCGCTCTTTTTGGGGGCAGGACCCTTCAGTTTGGTCTCCAGGCCCCCGAAGAAGCCCTTGACGTTCTCTGTCTTGGCCGAGGTGTTCTTCAGCAGCCTCTCTGCAATGTCCTTCTTCTCGGCCAGCCAGGTGTTCGCTGACTTCAGGTACGAGTCGATGCTGCCCGTGGGCTTCTCCTTGGCCTCCAAGGGCAGGGCCTGAGCTTTCCCTGGGGAAAAGGTGCCAGGAGCTCAGTGGGCCCACGGCCCTGAGTGCTGCCCGCTGCTGGGGACCTGCAGCCAGCTCCATGGTGCTCCACCAGGAGATGGAAACACCCCAGATCCCATCCCGCTTCCCTGGCGGTTTTTATTTTTATCCCATCCCAGTTCCTGTAGGTTTTTATTTTTATCCTCCCTGCTCCCATTCTGGATAGAAAACCCAGCCCCCCGTGGAGGAGCAGCCATTGCACACCAGACAATAAACCAAGGAGCTTCTGGGCTGGGGTGTTCACATCCCACCCAGGGGCTGGGATCACTGGGGGCTGTCACACACAAACATTCCTGGCTGGAAGCGAGGGCAAAGCAGCATCACCAGCCCAGCAGGAGTTTGCATGGATCCTGGGCTCTTTTCCACCTGGGCCACCCCTCCAACACCTTCCCCATGCACAGGACACATTTCACACCTGCCCCCAGCAGGGGTGCAGGCTGCCTTACCTATGTAGTAATAGGTGAAACACATGGTCATGAGGTTCTTGGCAGGGCTGAAATCATCCATCTGGTGACACCTGACACAGGGGGAGGACTCAGTGAGGACACCCCGTGAGGGGAGCCCCACCCAGCTCAGCCCTCAGGGCCTCTTGGGGCTCCCACAAAGGCCCAGAGTGCCCCCAGGACTCACTCAAAGAGCACGAGGGCGAAGGACTGCATCAGGCGGTAGAAGGTCTGCTCCGAGACACACTTGGAGTTGCAGCGCTGCAGGGACAGAGCAGGGGCTGAGACAGGGCAGGGACAGAGCCCAGGCTCCAGCACAGCAGCAGGAACAGCCTCAGCCCCCCAGCACCCCCCACCATGGGCAAAAAGAGCCCTCATGGGCTCCCCTCAGAGACAGCGTTATGCCTGTTTGGGTTTCATTCTTTTTGGTTTTTTTTAGGGAACAGGATGTGTCTGAGTGCTGGTGGGATTTAATTTTAAATAAAACGAGTGGATTCTCTCCCACGTTGCACCAAGGGTGTATCTAACTGCTCAAAATGCATTTATTCGCTCCTGTATCTCCCTCTGCTGTGGTTCCTCACTTTCCCTGAGTTCCTGCCTTCCAAAAATACTTCTCTGGGCTATAATTAAATCCCCGTGGCCTGAGGCTGTTCCAAAGCCCGTGCAGGATCCCTGCTGCCTCCCAGCACCCCCCTTACCTGGGCACTCACGTATCTTGCAAACCACTCCCTGCCCTTCCCGTTCTCGCTGCTGCAGAGCTCCCCGAACCTGGCCTTCTCCTCCTGGTCCAGATCCTCCCTGCAACAGGGAAAAATTTAAAAAAAATCATTAAAGCCGAGGATGTGACCTGCACCCCCTTGGCATCAGCATCCTGGCGCAGGTGCTGGAGGAAGGCAGAGGAAGAGGAGGAGAGGAGCACCCATTTTGGCATCCCTCGCGTTGTGCTGCTCTTTTCCTCCTCCCTGGCAGGAGGGAAACCAAAGGCAGAGGGAGAGGGGAAGAGCCAAGGACAGTGTGAGCAGAAACTGAGCTCCAGAGACAGGCAGGGAGCCCCAGAGCAAAAACAAGCCCTGTTGCTGCTCCTCACGCTCCGTTTGCTGCATCCAGCCTGACACGGAGCCCCGGGGGATGCAGGGCTGGGGGATGCAGGGCTGGGGGCACAGCCAGGAGCTGCCACGGGGTCCCTGGGCACGTGTGAGCCACTGGCATTCCCACGAGCATCAGTGGGGAGAGGAGATGGGGACAGCGAGCCCCTGGCATGGGAATGGGGACGGAGAAGGGAGGGAAGCTGTGGCTGGAAGATGCGGCCAGGAGAGGAGCGCACGGCAGAAGCCACATCAGCACCAGCAGCGAGCAGGGGAAGGACAGACTGCTGCTCCCGGGGTGGGAAAGCAGCCAGAACCCTGCCCCATGCCATGGGATGTCCCTGGCCCTGCTGCTCACCCCCCGGTGAAGATCTTCTCCACGTAACCCCGCATGAACTCGCGGCGCTCGGCCGAGGCCTCGTCGCGCGCCGACTCCGCGCTCTGGCTGGAGGACAGGGACTCGTTGGAGGAGGAGCGGCGGGAGCCACCCCAGTGCTGGGGAGAGTCCCCCATGTCATTCTCGCTGTCTGCTGACTCGGTGGCGTCGCTCTCCTCCGCGGCCACGTCCCCTGTGTCCCCCGGGTGGCCGCTGTCATCCCCCGGGTGGCCGCTGTCGCTGGGGACAGCGGGAGGAGCGGGCTCTGAGGGGTCACAGGCGGGAGTTTCGCTGTCAAAGTCAATGAGGTTCCCTACAGGCACGTCCAGAGGGGCCTCCATGGCTCCCCCAGGGGACGTGGCAGCGCTGGGGACACTGGCTCCTCGTCCTCGTGTCCCTCACTGGGGCGTTGAGGCCATGGCTGGCAGGATGCTGGCTAAGGCAGGCAGGACCTCCTGGCGGGGCACGGGCTGCCACAGCACATCTGAAAGGCACAAGGAGGACAAAAGTGAGGACAGAACCTTGGAGAACCACCACCATGGAGCTCGGGTAAGGCCCCCACGATGTCCCCGGGATGTCTGTCCACAGTGGAGGGACAGACAGAGCTGGCTCCTCTCCAGCAGCCACGTGAATCAGCAATCCCATGGAATGCTCACGTGCTGCCGGCACCGCTCGAGAGGGTTTTCCATCCTTCAGCCCAGAAAAGGGACAACCAGAGCCTCAGCTACGTATGTCACATTTGGGATGTGACATCTCGTGGCCTGATGGGCAAAACTGGGCTGGCAGGAGCCAGGAGCTGGCAGGGCACTGGTGGCTCTCCAGGGCAGCGCTGACATCCTGCTGTCCCTGGCCTCTCTCTGCTCACGGCTCTGTCTGACCCCGTTTGGAAATGGGATCATCTCCGGGGTGGAGCATCCTGGAGTGTAACACACTTAGCTGGGAATGGAAAGGGATGCTGGACACCACGGGAACTGGAATGGGATGAGGGTGCAGAGCTCTGGACTGGAATTAAGGGGGTTTGGCACCCCAGATTGCAAAGGAAGTGCAGGGAGCACAGGGGTGGGCATGGACTGGGATGCTCTGGCACGTGCCCATCCCGGACAGTGCTGCAGCAAAAGAGGCAAAGCCAGGGCCACCCTGAGGCTGCCCCTGTGTCACAGAGTCACTGGTGGGGGTGTTTCTGCCCCAGGAGGGGGTGAATTGTAGTGTCTGAAACCCAGCACACACGGCAGCATCCAGGCACAGGGGGGACAGGAGCAGGGACAGCAGCACAGGTGACAGGTAACATGACAAACCCAGGGCAGGGCGACAGCAGCACTGCCACAGCCCTGCTGCCTTGCAGGGGACTGATCCCAGGACACACACAGCCACCCCCAGGGCAAAAATCCCCCCCAGGACCGATGTCCAGCTCATCAGACAAACAGACATCCAGCTGAAACCAAATCTGACGTGTTTCACCAAGCACAGCACAGTGGGAAAACAGCCCCTGGGCTGCAGGAGCAGCCACTCTTCAGCAGCATCCCCCTCCTCCTCCTCCTCCTCCTCTCCTCCAGGGACCCTTTGGGGCACTGCACAGCGAGAGGAACACAAAGACATCCAGCTGAAACCAAATCTGACGTGTTTCACCAAGCACAGCACAGTGGGAAAACAGCCCCTGGGCTGCAGGAGCAGCCACTCTTCAGCAGCATCCCCCTCCTCCTCCTCTCCTCCTCCTCCTCCTCTCCTCCAGGGACCCTTTGGGACTGCACAGCGAGGGGAACACAGCTCCCTGAGTGGCTGGGACACTGTCCCCAGGGACAGCAGGGACAGAGAGAAAAGCCACCTGGGTGGCAGAACCCCTGCAGCCACCTCGGCTGGCAGCCTTCTGTCTCACACGGAGCCCCTGGCACACACCCACAGCTGCTCCAGGAGCTGCAGGGACACTGCAGAGCTCCGGGAGCTGGGCAGAGTTTGGCTCCTGGGAGGGGAGCAGCCCAAGGCTGCAGCACGCAGGGACTGGAGGTGTTCATGAGCTTCAGCCTCACCCTGGAATTCAGCAGCTCCTGGGCTGGCTTTAACCATGAAGCTCAACCAGACAAGTGGAGGAAACAGCCCAGGAACAAAATCCATGGATGTGCTGAAGCCATGCATGGGAATGCCACAGGAAACCCATGGTGCCCTGAAACTTTGGAAAAAGCGTGTTTTTACTAAAAATAAATGCTAGGGTGGATGTGAATGATTCACCTACAGCTGCACATGTGTGCAAGCAGCTTTTGTCCATGAGCTGCCCTTGAATCCAGCATTCCTAGCTGGATTTCACAGCTTCCCTAAGCCCTGCAGAGTTTCCCCCCGGGGCTTTTTCCAGGTGCTGAGGTCAGGCTGGCTGCCAGGCCTCAGGATTCACACCTGGGCAGTGGGATCCAACCCAATGGAAACTCCAGCGGGGAGCAGGACTTGGCCAAGCTGTGTCCCAGCTCTCCTGTGTCTCCAGCCCAGTGCTCTGCTCCCAGCCTGTGCCCTGAGCTGGATGACAAACAGATAATCCCTGTCATCAGGGTGACATCCCACACGGTGACACTGCTCCGACCCACACACGGAGACAGTGCTCCAGCCTGGAGCTGTCAGGGATGACTAAAAACCGTAATTAAAGCAAAGAAACCTCTGGCTGCCTCCTCGTAGCCTCACCCCTGCAGTCTGGCACCCAGACACGGCGTGCAGGAGCTCTGGGAGCCCCTGGGAACACCCAGCTCCGGGAAAGGGGAAAAGCCACGGCTGATGTTCCTGCAGGACTCGTCGTGGCAGCCCAGAGGGGACAACTCTGCTGCTTTGGACAGAGGCAGAGCTCTGCAGAGAGCCCTGGCACTGTGTCCGTGCCAAGGGCTGCTGCATCCGTGCCAAGGGCTGCCTGCATCCCGCTGCTGTGCGGGGGCCAGGGATGCTCACGTGGCCAGGGCAGGGTTTGTGGCCCTGCTGCAGCACAGGTGACCCCAGCACACCCCACGCCTCTCTGCCAGCTGTGCCAGGGCACAGATCCCGCCCAGCCTGCAGGAAAGGGCTCAGAGCGCTGCTGCCCTGCAGGGGAGGGGGACACACGCTGGCAGGAATTTTTGGGACACGCACAGGGTGTCACTCTGCTCAGGGGCTGGCAGAGCGCCGCTGCTCGCTGCTGGCACTTCTCCACGCTGCAGCCCTCCCTGGAAATCCTCCCTTGTCCCATCCAGCCCGGGGGCTTGCGCTGTCCCGGCACGGGTGTGACACGGGAGTGCCACCTGCTCCCGGGGCTGGCACTGCCCGGGGACACGGCCACCACCCCCCTGCAGGGGCACCCTGGGCACGGCTGAGCGCCTGCCAAGGAAAACTCCCTGCGCCGCGAGGGAACAGCGTGTTTCCTCCCGGGAACTGGTCAGTCTTGTTCCCCGTGTCCCTCTCCCGGGGAGAACACGCCGGCAGCCGGGTCACGGCTGCGGCTGCAGACCCGTTCCGTGCCAGATCCCCTAAAGCGCCCTAAATCCGGAGCTCACCCCGCTCCCAAGCTGAATTTAAACACGCAATCCTCCCTGTTCAAACACATCCTGGGCTCTGGAGAGCCGAAACTGCTCCCGGCTGGGCCGGCCCGTCCCCCCGCAGATCCGATGCTGTGCTCCGGGCCGGGAGCGCCCCGGATTTATCGGGGAGCTGTGCCCTGCTGCAGCCCAGCCCTGCAGCTCCCTGAAACAATCCCCTGCATGCCATGAGAGCCGTGCCCAGCTGGGCAGAGATCGCACACAGCCCCCAGCCCGTGCTGAGCCGCCACCGGGATGCCAGTCCCTGACGAGGGAGGGTTTTTGGCATGGGTGCTGCGTGTGGGTTTACGCGATCTGTTCCCCAGCATCACCTCCTCTCCCGGCCCCGGTGCCTTCCAGGTGCATCCTGCCCCTTCCCGAGCCCGGTTTAGCTCACACGGAGCGATAAAACCATCACCCAGCCCTCAAACCGGAGCCATTTCCCGGGAATGTGCAGCTCCCGGCTTGCCCTGCTTCCCGGAGCGCCCTTTCCTTTCCCCCGCTGCCATCAGACACCAGATGGCAGCTCCCCGTTCGCCTGGGCTGCCGAGGAGAATTAAATGTCCCTTGAATAGACCCGAGCCGGGCTTTTGTGCGAGCAGCGGTTTCTCCTTTCGCACTTCCCAGCTCCCACACACCCCCTGCTCACGGCCGCGTCCCCAGGGAGACCCAAACCGGGGCTGCTCATTCTGCAATTCCCGTTTTTACCCGGTAAAAATTCCGCCCGGGGCCCGTGCCGGGCTGTGTTTTGGAAATGAGCCCCCCGAAAAGCACAGGCGGGGGCGGAGGGGGGGTTCCCTGCCCCGACCACCCCCCATTCCCAGGGGAAATGCTGCTTCCAGCCCACCCCCCCCGGGATGCAAACGGAGCCTGGGGACACCGGGAGCAGGGGGGAGGGAGGGCGGCTGCATCCCCCCGGCTGAGCTGAGCCCAAAACCAGCTGGAAAAAAATAAAAATAAAAAAAAAACGGAACCGGGAGCAGGGGGGAGGGAGGGCGGCTGCATCCCCCCGGCTGAGCTGAGCCCAAAACCAGCTGGAAAAAAATAAAAATAAAAATAAAAATAAAAAAAGCGGGGTGTCACCTCCCGGTAGGATACAGGGACAGAGCACGGATTAAACCCCCGGCCAAGCGCCGGCCTGTCCCCAGGCGGGGTCCCCGCGCCATCCTCATCCTCATCCTCCCTCCTCCCTCTCCCTTTACCTGCAGCGCCTCGGCTCGCCGCTGCCTCCGCCGCATGCGGCCCGGGGGTGGCCGGGCAGGCCGGGGGAGGCGACACGGGGGCGGCGGAGGCGACACGGAGGCGACACGGAGGCGACACGGGTTCGCGGCGCTCCCTCCCCGCCCGCTGCCCACGCGCGGCTGCGCGCACGGGAAAAGCTCCCGGTGTCACCGGGCCAGCCCGGGCCGGCTCCCCCGAGCCCTGCCTGCCGCACACGGCCGGCCTTCCACCCGGGGAGACACCCCCGCCCCTCCCAAACCAGCCCCTGTGCGCCCTGCGTTGAGGGAAATTAATTAGAATTAGGTGGGAGCCCCAGCAGAGGGGAGCTCTGCAGACTGAGTAGGGGCGTGGGTAAATATCCAAAATATCGGCCAAAATGATGCGGGGTCCTCAGCAAAAGGGGGAAAAAATCATCTTAAGTCACTGCAAAATAGCCAAAATATCAAGAAAATAAGGAGGGGTGCCCATCAAAGGGGGATTTTGCAGCCCAAAAGAGCCCATCCAAGCCCCTGTGCACCTGATGTCTGGGATATTCGGCACAATTTGGCATCAGTCACATCAAAGAGGGATTCCCCAGCCTGAGTCCCACCACATACAAATATCCCAAATATTAGAATCCCCAGAAAAGGGGATTTTCCAGCCCACAGCAGCCCGTCCAAGCCCCTGTGCACCCTGATGTCTGGGATATTCAGCACAATTAGGCATCAGTCACAGCAAAGACAAATTCCTCAGCCCAAACCAG